TGTTTATTCACCAAAACATTTCTCAAGTGTTCTAGTAAGCTTTCATCTGTAGTCAATCAGTCCTGTAATATAAAAAAGATTTAGCAGTTCAACTTCCCTACTAGATATGAGAACTCTGAAACATTTTCTTGATAAATATCAAACGAATGCTGAAGACCATATAAATCTCAGTGGGTTGTTGTGAAAATTTAACAAGACAGCACACACAAAATACCTAGTATAAAAAGTTCATGAGACTAAAGTTGCCTTCTCATTAATTCCCACTCACAATATGTATACACATAACCCCTCCTCACAATTTCATTTATTAGCATACATTCATTGACTACATATATCTGCCAATTGATAGAGATTTTAAATAATAGATTTTAAATCAGATACAAAAGAGAAAAATAAGACAATTTTTTTTTAAAAAGTCATGAAAAGACAAAAATTCCTGCCCTCATAAAATAACATTTTAGTGAGAAAAGGCTGATAAATTAGTAACAAATTTAACATGTTAAGTAGTGATAAAAATGAAACAGGGGAAAAGAATAGAAAATACAATTACATGGAAATTGAATTAGTTACTCCTGAATGACTTTTGGATAGTAATGAAATTAAAGCAGAAATCAAGAAGTTCTTTGAGACTAATAAGTACCAAGATACAACGTATCAGGATTGCTGGAAAACAGCTAAGGTAGTATTAGGACGAAAATGTGTAGTACTAAATGTCCACATCAAAAAGTTAGAAGGATCTCAAGTTACCAACCTAACACCACAACTAAAAGAACTAGAGATCCACGAGCAAACAAATCTCAAAGCTAGCAGAAGACAAGAAATAACCAAAATCAGAGCTGAACTGAAGGAGACAGGGACATGAAAAACCATTCAGAGGATCAACAAACCCAGACACTGTTTTTTTGAAAAAAGTAATAAAATAGATAATATGGTTTGTCTATGTCTCCGCCCAGATCTCATCTTGAATTCCCACATGTTGTGGGAGGGACCTAGTGGGGGGAAATCGAATTATGGAGGCAGGTCTTTTCTGTGCTATTCTTATAATAGTGATTAAGTCTCACGAGATCTGGTGGTTCTATAATGTGGAGTTTCCCTGAACAAGCTCTCTTTTTGCCTGCTGCCATCATGTACGCCGTGACTTACTCCTCCTCGCCTTCCACCAAGGCTGTGAGGATTCCCCAGCAACATAGAACTGTAAGTCCATTAAACCTTTTTCCTGTACAAACAACCCCATCACAGATATGTCTTTATAGCCGAATGAAAATAGAATAATACAATGACCACTAGCTAGACTAAAAAAGAATAAAAGAGAAGATTCGAATAAACACAATTAGAAATAATATGGAGAATCTTACATATTAAGAAATACAAACAACCATCAGAGAATATTTTAAACACCTCTATGCTCATAAATTAGAAAACCTAGAGGAAACGGATATATTCCTGGACACATACAATCTCCCAAGACTGAGGCAGAAAGAAATTTAATCCCTGAACAGACCAGTAATGAGTTCTGAAGTTAAGGCAGTACTAAATAGTCTACTAACCAAAAAAGTCCAGGACCAGACAGATGCAGAGCTGAATTCTACCATATATACCATATGTACAAAGAAGACCTGATACCGTTCTTACGGAAACTATTTCAAAAAATTGAAAAGTAGTGACGCCTCCCAAACTCATTCTACCAAGCCTGCATCATTCTGATACCAAAACCTGGTAGAGATACAATGGCAACAAACAATTTCAGGTCAATATTCTTGATGAGCATTTATACAAAAATCCTAAAAAAAAAATTGGCAAACCAAATCCAGCAGCATATCAAAAATGTTATTCACCACACTCAAATAGGCTTCATCCCCAGGATGCATGGTTAGCTCAACATACACAAATCAATAAAAGCAAATCATTAAATCAATAGAAATAAAGACAAAAACCACATGATTATCTCAACAGATGCAGGAAAGGCTTTTGATAAATTTCAACATCCCTTCACATTTAAAACTCTCAACAAACTACATGTTGAAGGAACATACATCAAAATAATAAGAGCCATTTATGATAAATCCATAGGCAATCTCATATTAAATTGGCACAAGCTGGAAGTATTCACTTTGAAAATCGGCACAACACAAGGATGTGCTCTCTCACCACTCCTATTCAATATAGTATTGGAAGTTCTGGCCAGGCTATTAGGCAAGAGAAAGTAATAAAGGACATTCAAATAAGAAGAGAGAAAGTCAAACTATTCCTGTTTGCAGATGGCATGATTCTGTATCTAGAAAACTCCACTGTCTCAGCCCAAAACCTTCTGAAGCTGATAAAAAAAAAATTCAGCAGTCTCAGGATGCAAAACCAAGGTGCAAAAATCGCTAGTAATCTTAATCACCAAAACAGTCAAGCCAAAAGCCAAATCAGAAACAAACTCACACTCACAATTGCCACAAAAAGAATAAAATATCTATGAATACAGCTAACAAGGGATGTGAAAGATCTCTACAAAGAGAGCTACAAATCACTGCTCAATCAGTGATGACACAAAAAATGGAAAAACATTCCATGTTCATGGATAAAAAGAATCACTATTGTTAAAATGGCCATACTCCCCAAAGCAATTTATAGATTTAATGACTTCCTCTTTAAACCATGGTTGACATTCACAGAAAAGGAGAAAACTATTTAAAGTTAATATAGAACCAAAAATAAAAAAGCCCAAATAGCCAAGGCAATCCTAAGCAAAAAGAACAAAACTGAATTCATTACACTACCTAATTTCGAACTATATTACTTCAAACTATGGCAATAGTAACCAAAACAGCATGGTACTAGTACAGAACAGAAACAGAGGCCAATGGAACAGAATAGAGAACCCAGAAATAAGTCCACACTCCTACGACCATTGATCTTCAACAAACCTGATAAAAGCAATGGGGAAAAGATTCCCTATTCAAGGGATGGTGCTGAGCTAATGGGCTAGTCATATACAGAAGATTAAAACTAGACCCCTTTCTTATACCATATACAAAAATTAAATAGAAATGACTTAAAGACTTAAATGTAAAACACAAAACTATAAAAACCTTGGAAGAAAACCTAAGCAATACTTTCTTGGACATAGGGCGGAATAAAGATTTCATGACAACAATGCCAAAGCAATTGCAACAAAAGCAAAAACTTGACAAATGGGATCTAATTAAACTAAAGAGGTTCTACACAACAAAAGAAACTATCAACAGAGTAAGACATCCTACAAAATGGAAGAAAATTTTTGCAATCTATGCATCTGGCAAAGGTCTAATACCCAGCATGTAGAAGAAACTTAAACAAATTTACAAAAAAAAAATGCATTAAAAAGTGGGCAAAGGATAGGAACAGACACTTCTCAAAAGAAGACATATATGTGGCCAACAATCATAAGAGAAAAAGCTCAACATCACTGATCATTGTAGAAATGCAAATAAAAACCACAATGAGATACCATCTCACACCAGTCAGAATGGCTATTACTAAAAAGTGAAAAAAAAATAGGTGCTGGTGAGGTTGTGAGCAATAAGAAACACTTATACACTGTTGGAGGTAGAGCAAATTAGTTCGACCATCGTGAAAGACAGTGTGGAGATTCCTCAAAGACCTAAAGACAGAAGTACCATTTGACCCAGAAATCCCACTACCAGTTATATATCTAATGGAATATACATTGTTCTGTTATAAAAATACATGCATGCATATGTTTGTTGCAGCACTATTTGCAACCATGGAGTGAACCAAAATGTCCATCAGTGATAGACTAGATAAAGGGAATGTGATACATACACACCATGGAATACTATGCAGCCATAAAAAGAAATGACATAATGTCCTTTGCAGGAACATGGGTGGAACTGGAGGCCATTATCCTTAGCACTCTAACACAGTAACAGAAAGCCAAATACTTCATGTTCTCATTTCTAAGTGGAAGCTAAATGATGACAACACATGAACACAGAGGGGAACAACAAACACTGGGGTCTATTTCGGGATGGAGGTGGGAGGAGGAAAAGTGGATCAGAAAAAATAACAAATGGGTACTAGGCTTAATACCTGGGAGATGAAATAATCTGCACAAAAAAACTCCATGACACAAGTTTACTTATGTTACAAACCTGCACATGTACCACTAAATTTAAAAGAAAAGTTTTTAAAAAATGTGGAGATGGATGAGAAAATTAGAATTTTAGATATGTAGGCCAAGGAAGACCTCATGTTTAAGGGGGTGACATTTGAGTGACGATATGGAGAGAGTTGGGAAACCAGTAGAAAGCTGGTGGTATTCCTGGTAAAGGGAAAACCAAATACTCATCCATCAGCATATCACTGCATTGCACATATAGATATTTCCAAGAAATGTATCCAAGAAGGAAATGAGATGAGCTGAAGCAGAAACTGTAATCTACATTACAAATGAATCATTAAAACCTTATTTATATTACAGAGAACTGAAATCCAAACCATTACTATGCTCTAAGACAAAATAAAATAAAATAAATGAAAAGAGACTACCATATATAGCCTAGGAAATTTCTGATTTATGAAGATAAGTAAAAAATCTGACAGGCATCAAGATAGAAAAAAGAACAAAGAACAGGTTGATTTCAGGTCTGCTCATCAGATGACAATGGAGCAATGTTATCAAATTTTAAAGGAAAATGTTAAAAATCAGAAGTTATACAAGCATTCAACTTATTTCCCATTTATGTATAAACTTGAAACAGATTTTCAGTTGTGTATAGGATCAGAAATAATGACACTAATACATCTTCTTAAATGAAAAATAAAATATATGAATCTATACTAACAACAAAGAGAAGATATATAATAGTTTATAAGGATTAAAAATATGAAATAAATAAACATTTTTTTCTGTTTGAATGAGAAATCAATTCTACAGTAATCAATTCTAAAACAAAATCAATTTCTGACCGTTTCTGCAGCCTAAAATGTGAGGCTTAATCCTGTAACATTACCTTCAGCTGTTGCTTTTGAAATATCTCTTGAGCCCATATCCTTCATCAAGAGTACAGATGGAATCTTTTTCCTGAAATGATAGAAACTTAAAGCCTGAAATGATGTTTTTATCTTCAGACTCTTGCTAATAATATCTGAACGATACAGTTCAGCTGTTAGGCTCAGTGAATTATTAAATCAAAGTTTAGTTTTGTTTAATTTGCCTCTTGCAAAGTTATTACTAGTTATTATTAAAATAACATAAAAGTCATTTTAATAGTCAAGCTTAATTAATATTTTTCTTGCTAATTAAAGTGCATATTGAATTACTTGACCCATCCTGTTGCTTTGATTTTAATTGGGAAATAATAATAAATCACTTAAAATGTAGTCTCACCTGTCATTTCGTTCCCTGTTTATGCCCACTTGCATTTTAGGACCAGTCATGTTCCTTCAGTAATTATGAAAGATTTAGTATCCAAATGTACCTGTAAAAATAGTTTATTTTAAAAGTATAGCTATTGTTTTTGATGTATATTTTTAGATAATTTCAAATATGTTAACATGTACATTTTTCAGAGTAAAAATTTTGTTTTCATAAATAGAAAACAAGACTTAAAGGTCAAATGTTTTAAAATTTTATATAGAGAACATATCATAATTAAATAAAATTTTAAGACTACACCTAAAATAATATTTTTGACAATGTTAGAATTGTGGGTATTTTTGCAACTGCATTTTTTTTTTTTCAGAGGGGGCTACTTTACTCAGGCTGGAGGAGGACAGTGACTATTCAAGGGCTCCGTCACTGACCACTGTATACGGCAGCCTCAACCTCCTGCCCACAAGCGATTATCCTGCCATATTCATCTGAATTGTGGGTATTTTCATTTTTAAAACTTTACATTTTCCTATATTTTTCAATTTTTTCACAATTATAAATACTTTTTATAATTTCAGAAATGCTCTAATGAAAGTAATATATTTTGGCATGTTAGTGTTCGTCTCCTTTTTCATCGACTGGATATAATTGGCATTTTGAAACATGCCATTAGAATCCTTCGTAGGTACTTGCTTGGATCAGTTTTGTACATATTTCTGCTCAACTGAGCTGCAGCCTTTTAAAAGAGTAAATCTGATCTGCCCCTGACAGTGGTAGGATTCAGAACATAAGCATAAGTACAAATATAGAGCCACATATCCTTATACCTTAATATTTAAAACTATAAATCAAAACAACAAACTTTGATATAATACATATTCTGCCCTTTTACATTATCAAATATAACATCCTATTGACAAATGTTTTAGAAAAGGTCAGGATATTATTTTTATAAGGCTGATGTAAGTAACATATTAAAGACACATATAGCTGTCACCACAAATGCCTGGATACTGTGTAGATGAGATGTTGATGTAAGGATGCAAAAGTATACAGGCACACTATATATACATATATATTTCATAAATTATTACCATTTTATATATGTCTACTTTATAAAGCATATTCTTTTTGTCTTTATTTCACTGAAATTATTTATAATGGTGGTAATAAAGATTTGCACATAAAGGTCTAAATAAATAAAATTTAATTATAAGTATAAAATTAATAAATTTTAATAAAAATGTAATTCAAAGTAAATGTAAAAGTTTTAAATTAGTTATTTTATATATTTGTTACATTTTAAATATCCAAAACACTCTAAAATAAATTAGAAATATAAAATATCAAAATAGTTAATGAAATTGTTAATATGTTAAATTTAATTTTATGAAATTCTCATTTTGAGCCATTACATATTTTCAGATGTGTAATTAAATGTCCATCCAGTTGCCAATCTGATAGTAGGTATCTTTTATACATATTATATCTAAGACTACATTTATTTAAATTTAAGAGTAACATGAACGGTTAAATATTGGAAAATGCTCCTCAGTTACTATGGGCAACAATTGCAGAAAAAAAAGGTGCTTATTTCTGAGTACTCTAAGGATTAAATAAGAGCACAAGGAAGTACAGAAAAAAGACACTCAATATCCCTGGGAAATTGTGTTTCATTATTTAAGAATATAATGCATTTCCATTAACTGAAAGGAATGATTTAAAAAATTAATTTATATTTTTAAGTGCTTCTTCCTCATTTACTAGGAAATAGTACATATCTGACATTGGCAATTGTGCAACCCACAAATCTTTGAAGCATTTGTATGCAATCACATTTTGTTTGAATAACCTATGCCAAGATACGTAGTACAGTTTTCCTAGGGTCTGAATGGTGTTAATTATGAGAACAACATTTTCAAATAATGATCTCTACTAAGAATTGTCTGTGTGTTCTCTAATTACTTTTATTTGAGTCTCTATGACTTGTGGAGCTTAGGGCAGGTGCCTTTTTGCACTGATCTAAGACAGTACGCATGGAAATCATGCGCATCCCTTCTTGGTCACACTACAGTTACCAAATGAACATCTTATAGAACACTGGAGTAGATGCTTAATAACTTTTGAATTTGTTGAATTAACCTGAAATCCATTAATATAATAATCAAGAAATTGCTAAAGACATACATGTAGAGATTCTTGAACATGTACTATGACGCTTTTTGGAAACCACCAAATGAATGAGTAAATTGAGATAAGGAAGGTGATGAAGTATTTAAGATTGAGTAAAGCAACAAAACAAAAGGTAAAAAGTAGGAACTGTTTGTAATGTTCCCTCTTTTCTTTAGAGTATATACTATGCATCTGAAAGTCTCTAGTCTTAAAAAAGACGAAGTAATTAAAATGATAAGTTAAATATTGACAGCCCTTAACAAAAGCAAGCCCAATTTTACTTCTGAAAGAGAATCTACTTATACAGCATGTGCAAAGCAGCTATCCTTTAGTGAATCTAAAAGCTTATATCTTTCTTGCAATAGAAATGTCTTAATTTTTACAACCTATGAGATTTTTAAATATAAGTTTACTAGTAAGATAAGTTCTAAAATTTAGCCTAATAGTTTTTAAGGCAAAAGAAAAAAAAAAACACACATTTTACTGCCAATTTGTTAGAGAAAGTGTCAGGTAATGTCACTCCACTGTGGTCATATCTCAAAAAATCTCTGCTTTTACTTTCAAATAAGACATGATCTATAAAATGTTTGTGAATCTCAAGACGATTTTACTGAAACCAGTGCAGAGTTTCAATAAGGTAATAAAAATTTTCAGAGACTCTTCTAAATATAATTCTTAACCTATAAGGTATTTTATATTCCCTTTAAAAGAATGCCTGACAGAAATAGAATAGGAAAAGATTTTCTCCTTCATCCCCAAAGACATGCAGTAGGTCTGATTCTGTCTCAGCCTGAGTCAACAAATGTATTAATGGAAATACTATGGCTCAGTATGTTCCACATTGCTAAAGTTGGCAAAAAATAGCCTAAAGGTAAAAAAAAAATGCTTGAAAAGTTTAGATTTTAGGAACTTGCTGTGAACCTTGAAAATTACAGTCACTAAATCTGTATTTTGATGATCCCTTTTTGAGACATATATTATGTGAACTATTCTTAACATATTTCTGTTTTATATCCTTATTTTAATGGTTTCAAAATCTACTTTTTTTAGGAATTAGGTTTTATTTTATATTTAAAACTTTTAGTGCCATCTGACAAACGACCATTTTTCCCATTGTGTATGCTCACCTCAAACTTCAGTTTAATGATTTGTAAAATGCAATTTTGTCAATTTTTCTCAATAAAGAAAACATAATATTGCTTTTCTAAAACTTCTAGTGATAATACGAGCTTAAAATGTTATCATTAGAGCAGTTTTCAGATTATTTACATTTGATTCATGGCTTCTTCTGAAATATAGTCTTTCTGCTACATTGCATGTTTTCTGTATAGTGGATTAGTCATACGTGACAGGTAAATAGGAAAACAATGTCAATATAAAGTGGAAATTTCATTGGTTCATACATGATATTCCATAGTATTTCAGTGCTTTGTGCCACCAGATAACTACTAAATGCTGCAAGCCATACGAGGATATATTAAACACGATGCCAACTGATCCCATGAATCTACCTGTTGGCTCAAATTAGATAACCCTTTTCACTTGAAAGTTGTTATTACATAGTTTGCTGCCATAATTGTATATTGAATAAAATGGTGGCTCCCCAGATATATTCCCACATCCCAATTCCCAAAATTTGTGAATATCACCCTATTTGGAAACAAGGTCTTATTAGTTGTAATTAGTGATTTTAAAATAAAGATATCTTACATTAGCTGGATGAGTCCTCATCCAATGACAAGTGTCTTTGTAAGAGGAAGGCAGAGGGAGATTTGAGAGAGAGAAAAGAAGAAGAAAGGAAGCAAATCAAAAGTTCACATAAAAATGAAAGCAGAGATTGGAGTAATGCAGCCACTAGCTATGAAATGCTCACAGCTACCAGAAACTGAAAGAGTTAAGAAGGAGTAGTTTTCCGTAGATCCTCTTGGAAGAAGTGTTACCCTGGTTAATATGACTCCTTGATGTTAGACTTATGGCCAGACAAGTGAGAAAATAAATGTCTGTTGTTTTAAGACTCTTAATTCGTGATACTTTCTTAAAACATTCCTAGTTAACTAATTTATCTTGTAGCTTTCATTTTACTCTTCAAAACAGAGCATTTAACTCAAACTTGTATTGTTCCTCTTTTCAAACACAATGATTAACTATTTTGTTAAATAAAGTTATATATGTACTGTAATATTTTTAATTGTTAGAAAGTAAACATATATATTTACTTATATATATACATATATTTAACTGTACCAGTGTATTTATAAGGAATGTCATTTTGTTTATTGGTTTTTGTGTTCCAATTGCAAAGTTTTACAGATGTTGAGTTGTGTTGCCCATCATTGACTTTACTATAAGGACAGTCATTTTACATGTGAGATTTTGAAAAACAGCTCAGTTTATTTTTAGAAATGCCAATTTTGTGATGTAACAGAAAGGCTTCTATTTTGTGTATAGACGTATCTTTAAAAATGTAATTTCATATAAAAACTGACAGCATAAGATGTCAGCGATTATTAAAAGCTTTTTTCTGCAATTTCTTGGGCACATAATATTACAGAAATAAAAAATTGAAAGCAACCTTCGCTGTCATTTTGTCTAACCTCCAGTCTAATGCAGGAAACGTGTCTATAATATTTAGATTGCTATCCAATGTTTGCTTGAAAATGTCTATTTAAGGGACACACAATTTCACAGTACAGCTTATTCAAGTTAGAGTTTATAACCATCTTTAAGTTTCTAAATTACTACTTGAAATATATTTAATCCTCACTTCGTTTCTACTTTCATTTGGAATTATATTTTTCTTTGAATCTGCATATTTAGATATACATAAAGTAGTCTGTTCAGGTAAAATAAAAGTTGATAAAAGTTGATATGGTGACTACATTTTAATCAGGACAGATAGCTGAAAGTGGTTTTGGGTAAGTGAAATTATAGAAAGCTAGAAGTAATAACTTCTCCAAAGATACATTAGAAGTCACATATATGACCTGGATAAAACAACACAAATGTTCATCACCTGACAAGTAAAGTATGGCATATCACGTAATGAAATATTATTCAGCAATATAAAGGTGCTAGAATATGAGCAAGTCTTGAAACATTATGGTATGTGGAAGAACTCAGATGCAAAAAACACACTTCATGGTTCTATTTATTTCTGAAGAGCCCAGAATAGGCAAATCTATGGAGACAGACAGTACATTAGTGGTTTTCAGGGACTGTTGGGAAAACATCATGTGCAGTGACTGCTAATGGATTTCTTTCCAGGGTGATGAACATTTCTAATATTACATCATTTTGGTTGTGTAACTATGAATATACTAAAAGCTACTGAATTACACATCTTAAAAAGATGGATTTTGTGATGTATTATCTCTAAATAGAGCTGTTATGAAAATACATATACAGAGATAACCAAAACCAAAAAGCAAAGCAAGGTCCACATGGTGTCAGCAGCCAAGAGAAGGGAAGCAGAGAAATGGCACGGGGAATCTGGGTAAACTTAAGAGCCTGAGAACTTAGAAGTCACCTACAGATACTCCTTAGAAACTTGGCCAGCTAATAATTGTATAGCAGCCAAAACTGGGACAGTGCTCTTCATTGTTCAACTCAAAGGTATGTGTAAAGAGACTGTCTGAAGGCTTTAGTGAAAAATGGTTGAGCCCTATGGATCCTTGAAATCCACCAACTAGATACCCTTTCCAGAACACTCTGACTTTGAGAGAAGCTGTAGGCTATAGAAGCTAAATTAAGAGAGTTCAGACAAATTGGGAAAAGGAGAGTCAACCTTTCAAAAATATATAACTGTATTCTTAAAAACATCTGTGAGAATAACAAAAGTTTTTCCAGGCACGGTGGTTTACACCTGTAATCCTAGCACTTTGAAAGGCCAAGGTAGTTAAATCGCCTGAGCTCAGGACTTTGAGACCAGCCTGGGCAACATGGTGAAACCCAAGCTCTACCAAATACACACACACACACACACACACACACACACACGTGGGTGCATGCATACACACACAAATAGCCGGGTGTGGTGGAGCACACCTGTGGTCCCAGCTACTCAGGAGGCTGAGATAGGAGGATCACGTAGCCTGAGAGGTGAGGTTGCAGTGAGCTGAGATCTTGCCACTGTACTCCAACCTGGGGGACAGAGTGAAGAGAAAGAAAGAAATGTTCTAATGCCTTTAAATTGGGAAGACTATTTTGATCTATCCTCTTCTCTAAGAGTATAAAAAGACAAATTTCATTTGCATATGAGAAGTAGAAAATTGTAGTAAAAACCATGCAAATATATTATAAACAAAATGAGAATCAAATACAGAATAATTTATCTGCTGCAAATAAAGGCACACCCAAAAAAGAATCTGCCATCTAGCAAACAAAACAAACAAAAAGACTTAGTGCTTCAAAACAAGCTAAAGAAACTTAATAAAATTATAGAACACTGAAAAACAAACTTTAAAAACAGGAAAACTCAGAAATGAGGTTATTGAAGAAGACAGGATTGCAAGAAAAATCTTACATAATTTAAGAAGTGAAATAATTAGAAGAAAAAAATGGAATTAGAAACTAGATTAGAAGTTTTATTATTTCTGTTAAGAGGATTAGAATTTGTTTTAATCAAAAAGAAGAAAAGAAATAGATCCAAAGTATTTGACAGATATTAAGAGAGAGGCCAAAAAATTAAATCAATGAAATGTAATATACAGTTAAAACTATGATTTAAAACACTTTTTCAGCCTGGCACGGTGGCTCAACCCTGTAATCCCAGCACCTTGGGAGCTGAGGAGGGCAGATAAACTGAGGTTGGGAGTTCAAAACCAGCCTAACCAACATGGAGAAACGCCATCTTTACTAAAAATACAAACACAAAAAAACAAAAAGAGCCTTGTGTGGTATTGTGTGCCTGTAATCCCAGCTACTTGGGAGGCTGAGGCAGGAGAACGTCTTGAACCTGTGAGGCAGAGATTGCGGTGAGCAGAGATTGCGCCATTAACAAGCCCGAGTACCAAGAGCGAAACTCTGTCTCAAAGACAAACAAAGAAACCAAACAAACTAAAAAACATTGTTTTTTCTAAAATAAAAGAATAGTTGAAACAACACATTGAAAAGATAGGCAACATACCTGGGAAAACTGACCTAGAAGAAAAAAACAAAGCACGCTGCTACAATCATTAGACTTTAACATTTTTTCCTGATAGGCAAAAAAGCAAGTGACTAAAAGAAAAATAATCAGATTGTTACTAGATTATTCAAACTTAACATGGCCCCCAAAATAGAATAATATGTTTATGAATGAAAATGTGAGCTAAAATTTTATTTACAGTCAAGCCTACTTTCAAGCATGTAGGTTACAAACTGTAATGAACAGGGAATATTGTATTCAATGAGCCCTTCCCTTTAAACAAGATTCTTACAACAAAAATGGCTGTAAATACACAAGCATAAGGAATTGTAGCAAATAATAAATATAACCTACACCTAAAATTAAATGGAGACTAAAAGGAAGTTAAATAGTACATAATACATATATACTTAGAAAATGTATAAATATCAAAAAATGATATGGGGGAATACACATTGCAAATGTATAATAAATGAGCTCACAGATTGCCTTGCTGGTATTAAATTAAAGTAACAATATTTTAAATAAGGTGCTGTGGGGATTCATTATACTTTTCTCTCAGCTTTTGCATATTTTTTGAAATTATTATTAAAGAGATAACTTTGGAGTTTCTAGTTTAGAAATCTTGGGGTAAGCCAGATGAGAAACAATAAAAACTGGAAACATAACAATAATGAGGGGACTAAAAAGGAGAGGACGAATATACCGTTAAGTAGAATGAGCAGAAGACTGTGCCTGTGGAGATAAGAAGCGTGGGGACGGCACAGATGACTCCAAGGTTCTAGTTGAAATGACTTGGTAGATTTTGGGTGTCACCATTGCGACATGAGACACACAGGAAAGACAGATACAATTAACTTAGATGGGAGCATAGATGATGATGAGCTGTATCTAGAGAGATTAAATTTACCAAACATCAAGGTAAAAGAAAATAATTAGCTATAATGACATTTTAAATTCGGAGTCCAAACTGATAATAGAGCCTAATGAATAACTGGGAATTGACTCTTTCTTTCTTTCCATCTTCCTTGGTTTCTGAGGAGCTTTCCTCCATAAATTCATCTCTTCTGCTCTCTCTACTCTTCCAATTGAAAACTTTTATTGCTTTTAGCAAATGATTTGTACCTTGTTTTAAACATTCCAATTAACAGTGAAAATAGCTGAAATTTGTTTAAAAAAAAAACAGGCCATTGCCTTATAACTGTGGTCTCCCGAATTAGGGAATTTGAAGCTCTTTTAATTGTTTTTCCTAACATTTATTTTTGTGTTTTCAAATTATATGCAAATTCTACCAATATTATATTTATCAATATATTAATACTATATTTATCATTAGATCCTTTATTATTGATATAAATTAATCAATATCAATTAATAAAAGATCTAATGTATTTCCATTATAGTAAATAGAGGTTTACCTCTTACATTCACTTTATAACCCTGTTAGAGCAGCTACATTATTGTTTGTTTGTTTGTTTGTTTTGAAACAATGTCTGTGGCCCAGGCCGGAGTGCAGTAGCGCGATCCCTGTTCACTGCATCCTCGGCAGCCCAGGATCAAGTGTTTCTCCTGCTTCAGCCTCTCAAGTGGCTGGGATTATAGGCGCCCACCACTGCGCCCGCTAATTTTGATATCCTTAGTAGAGACAGAGTTTCCCCATCTTACCCAGGCTGGTATCAAACTCCTGACCTCGTGATCTACCCGCCTTGGCCTCCCAAAGTGCTGGGATTACAAGAGTGAGCCACCACTCCCAGCCCAGGAGTTTTTTGAGAAAGGATGGGTGATAAACTGTTGAGATATTGCATGTTGAAAATACACTTCTACACTTACTTTTGCTTCAAAATAAACTGCAATCATATAATTAAATTAATTAAATTTTAATAATTGAGTAATTAGTTAAAGTGCTTTTAAAGCTCTCAGTTAAGTAAAATAAGGATTCCTTGCATCCGAAATTAGTAAATTCTGCCACTGAAAATTCTCAGTGATTAATGGGAACAAGCCGAACAGTTGCCCCAAGTAATGAGCTTGTAGAAACTCACACACACTTACCTCTACTCTCTAAACTAGCCTGCCTAGAACTTACCATTCCTCAACTACTAAACCATGTCTCCAGGAACTGGAACCTACTTTCATTATTTGTAATTCTCCCTGTTCATTACAGTTTGTAGATTATATATATGAAAGTCAATTTGATTTAAATATCTTTGCCTCTTACTTTACTGAGAAAATACATTCTAGCTATCAGCTAATATCATACTTTAACTTAAATCCTTATACTTAAAAAAGATTAGAAAATTTGAGACACCCACTATTTCAGAGACACATTAAAACCATAAATGATTAAAACAATCTCCACGAACAAAAAGAAGAAATAACTACAGCTCACAAAAATAAAGCTAACAGAAAAAATAAAACTAACAGAAGAAAAAGACTAAGATATTAAAAGTAAATAAATGTAAATGTATAAAATATATATGTAAAGAAGAAAAAATATTAAGATAAGTAAACTTTCATTTTGTATTTAATATTATATAAGGAAAATCTTAAAAAAAAGAAATAAGCTTTAAAGTAAAAACGAGTAAACAAGTAAAATGTTAAGGAAAAAATTTTTTAAAGTAATATAATAAAGATTTCCACTGGAAGGTATAAAGAAGAAAATATTTTTAAACAATTCAGTTTTAGAAACTCAAAATCATAATTAATATTCTCCCCCACACACAACAATACAGAATAACAATAGCAAAGGTAGTTTATTAATATACACACTGAATAACAGATAGGGCGGTTTTGTAGATAAAATTACCAAACACAGAACGAGCAAAAGTGCTACTACAAAGCAGAAATAAAATGCTAAAATAGATGGCATATATATCCTTGTCTTAATAATTTCCCTTGATTAAGACATTCTACAACCTAAGAACAGATAAGATGAGAGAAAAAAAATCAAAGAATAACAAAAAGGAATCTATGAACTCAAGAAAGATGAATGTTTTTACACTGAAAAGTAACACCAAGTGGAAGAATTAAATTAAGAAAATTATCCCGAAAAATATTCATATGAAAATATTAAATAATAGGAAAAAGTGCAAATTTTCAGGAAAATAAAACACACAGAATTGGTAATCATACTAATATTCACACCTGTTCACTCCCCTTTACATAAATATTTACTTTCTGAAAAGATCCTCCTTCTTAATCTGATTACTTTTTTTTTTTTGGTCAGTTTCCTCTTGTTAGAATATAAGATATTTGACAATAGGGAATGTATTGTTGCTGTTTTTATATCCTTATTATATTTAATATTACTGTTTTTCCAGCAATAAGTGTTACATCTAATATGCATTAGGTGTTCAATAAGTATTTAATAAATAAATTAATTAATGAACAGTATGCTATTTTTTCAATGGACAAGAATACTTAACCAGGCATACTCAGTTGCCTAAAAGAAAAACAAAACAAAACAAAACAAAAAACAGCTACATGGGATGGTTTCTGTGGTTCCTTACAGTTTACATTTTTGTGAACCAAGTATGTCTATTTATCTCCAAAAGTTCATTTACAACATTAAATCTCAGCTTCTCAGTCTCTTTAATTGCTTCTCTGTAGCAGTCAATATTTGTCTCCTTGTTGTTACCCTGAGTATAAACTCTGTTTCTATATTGGAACATGGCTGTTCTGTGAATCTGGGTTGCAAATAGAATTGACCCCAACCCTAGAAGCATAAAATCCGAGATAAAGACAACTTATTCTCACTTCCCTTGTTTTTAAGACATGAGCAAGTGACCCAAGTACATCACTCAGATGTCATTGTATTCAGACAACAGAGAATCTGCGGCAGTGGCAGGAGGTGCAGTGGTCTTGAGGAACAGAAGTGGCAGAGACCCCAGCAGCTACATCCAGAGGCCATTGTTGCTGATCAACAAAATTACAGCACAAAATGCTTTGCTGCACTTGTTTTGGTCACAGGACTGGGTATTGCCTAACTTTCTTTCTACTTTCCATTTTCTGTTTGGTT